ATACAAAAAATTAGTTGGGCATGGTGGTGCAGTGAGCCACGATTGCACCATTGCATTCTACCCTTGGTGACAGATGGAGACACTGCCTAAAAAAAAAAAAAAAAAGAGCACTTGGAGGCTCCTAGCTTATGAGTCCAGTAGCTGACACTGTCTGCCAGCATTCAAACATTGGTCCTTCAAAGTTTAGTCAATAATGCTTAATCTTTTAGTTTGTGTCCCTCAGGATGTTCTAAAACCCAAAGAATTGACCAGATTCCAATGTTTTGAGAAGTTCTGTAGCATACATTCTTTCCTTTTCTTTTTTCTTTTCTTTTTTTTTTTTTTTTTTTTTACTTCTGTTTTTTGAGATGGAGTCCCACTCTGTCTCCCAGGCTGGAGTGCAGTGGTGCAGTCTCAGCTCCCTGCAATGTCTGCCTTTCAGGTTCAAAGGATTCTCCTGCCTCAGCCTACAGGTGCCTGCCACCATGCCTAGCGAATTTTATGTATTTTTAGTAGAAATGGGATTTCACCATGTTGGCCAGGCTAGTTTTTAACTCCTGACTTTGTGATCACCAACTGCATTCCAGCTGGGACAACAAGATGAAACTTTGTCTCAAAAAAATAAATAAATATACCTGAGAATGAATAATTTATAAAAGAGGAAATAAATAAATAAATAAATAAATAAATAAATCTTTCCTAATAATGTGGGAACTACCCTTATAAGAATAAACTGTTCTGGCCATAAGAAATTAGACAAAATCGGAAACTAACAATTTTTTTTTTCTAAAAGGCTTTAATTGATTTTTTTAAAAGCCTACAGCCACCGGTATTCCCACACAGTCTTCCATCCAAGTACTAACCAGGCCTGACCCTGCTTAGCTTCCAAGATCAGACTAGATCGGGCGCGTTAAGGGTAGTATGGCAGTAGATGAAAGATTATTAAAAGAAAAGAAAAAAAATCTCTGGACAGGCAAATCACGGAGCAGAAAGAAAAAGCCAGCCTGGGAACTTGACTCCCGTTCTATTTCCAAATGAGATAGCTACAAAAATAAAAAAAGGTACATACAACCCTCACATTTTGCCTACACACACAAATATTCATTGTGTACAAAACAACTCAACACTTATCCCTTTTCTCACCTCAGACAAATGCATATCTGATTGTTTCCATTGCCCTATTGTTTCACTAAGCCAGACTGAGGCAGAAGTGAGTATCCCTGTAAATTGCATATTCAGTGAAAGACTATTTAGAAACAAACAGACAGTAAAGAAAACTTTTGGATTCACATTACTAATTTCAGGTAGACTTTAATTTTTTTGTTTGTTTGTTTTGTTTTTTGAGACAGAGTCTTGCTCTGTTGTCCAGGCTGGATTGCAGTGGCAGAATCGCGGCTCACTGCAACCTCCACCTCCCAGGTGCAAGCGGTTCTCCTGCCTCAGCCCTCCAAGAAGCTAGGATTACAGGCGCGTGCCACCATACTTCGTTAATTTTTGGTATTTTTACTAGAGACGAGGTTCAAACGTGTTAGCCAGGATGGTCTAGATCTCCTGACCTCAAGATCCACCCACCTCAGCCTCCCAAATTACTGGAATTACAAGCTTGAGCCACGGCGCCAAGCCTAAAATTCTTAACATAGAAACAAACAAAAGTGCTCCTTAAACTGAGAAAAATTAATAAAAATGTGCTCAAATTTACAGACAGAATTATGGGTGAATCTAATTAGATTCTATTCGTTTTAACTAAATAAGAAAAAAAGAAATAAGAAAAAAATAAGAAAAAATACATAATTATGACCGAGCCCTCACCTTTGGGAAATCAAAAAGCCACTTTTGACCAGTTGTTTCTCACAGATACACACCCCGGCCCCATGCCACCTGCCAGGACTGAGCGTCCCAGGACCTGGAGGGCCGGGTCCCTGCTGTCGGGGTTCGGGTTTGGGCTCAGACACGCACGGTGGCCTTGGGTCGGGCCCACCCTGCCAGGCCCCCCAGTCAGAGGGACCGCGCGGGAGTGGAGCAGGCAAGCAGGGAGCCACCAGGGGTGCTGATGGAGCAGATGTCGGGGGCTTGGATTCGGAGCCATGTCTGCTGTGGGGCAGGCTGGGGCCAGCTTCCCACTCTGGGAAATTTTCCCCTGTTGACCCTGCCAGTGGTCGTCGTAAGCCGCCCTGCCTCCTAGCCGTGGCCACGGGGCCCCGAGGCATTCGGGAGAGCAGCGAGTGGGAGTGAGCAGCGGGAGGAGGAGGGGTGGCCCTGAAGGCAACGCGGGGACTGGAAAGGGCGCCTGGATGGAAAAAGGCGCTGGCGGGTGATCTTCCCCACCGCGCCAGCCCGCTGGCTCTGCTGCCTCCCCTCCCCAAAATTCAGGCAACGGCGGGTGCACTGGTGTGTGGCACATGGAGCCGCAGGGTCCCCACTTAAATGCAAGGGCCTACAGGGAGTCGGGACCTGGGGGGGCGTCCACAGTCCCTGCCCCAGACCCCATATTCTGGCCAGATTCGCCAAAGTTAGAGGCTGGAGTCTGGAGGGCGGATGTGAGGATGTCAGCTGAGCCCAGCCTCTGCCAGGCCATGGCCAGTCTAACGCGGTGACACTCTCAGGAGCCCCTGCTGCCCCACCCTGCTGTCAAGCTCGCTGGTCTAAAGTGTAGCAGGAGCTGCCATGGGAAAGGATCTCTAGGACACTGAATACAAGAGGAAAGAATTCATTTCAGCTGGGAGCAAGGTGTCACAGGTGCCTAACAGCCAAGCTCATTTAACGAAGAGAGGTTTAGCCTTTATATAGGCTTATACTTTAGATGTTACACATGGAAGAATCTTAGGTTTATAGTTTTCGAACTCACGTGTGAAAAGGTTTTCGTTTACAGTTTCAGGAATCACAGATGAAAGGGTTCCGGTTTACAGTTTTAGGACTCACATGTGGAAAGGTTTCTGGTTTGATCTTAAGTAAAAATAGTGCCTTCTGGAGAGTTTCCCCAAGGCCTAGCCTGTTGTTTTTAGAAAGAAGATTCGGGAGGCACCAGCTGGCCTGCTCTCTCTTTTATTGAGATGCATAGTGGATGACATAGGGGGAGGAAATTCCAAATGCCTGGGTCTTCCTCCTCAATGGGATTCATCTACCCCTAGTGTGTGCACCCAGCTCCAGGCAGAGGGTGCAGGTGTGGAGCTGCTGGTTATCATGGTTTCTGGAGATGAGGAGGGTATTCCCCTCAGGGAACAGGCCACTCAAAGCTTGCAGAAGGGAAGCACAGACAGCACCATCCCTTGCCTGGTAGCCACACAGAGGGAGGCCTGAAGAGCTGGGGGTAGAAGACGGTTTGAGTTTGAGGGAGGGCTGGTGACCACAGGTCCTGCGCTATTGGCAAGTGAATGAGCTGGGAATGTATGGTAATGAAGCCTCTTGGGATGGGAGGGAGGGGAGGGTGTTGGAGGGTGGTGAATGCCTGGACCTCTGAGGCTCCAGGCTGCCAGTGCCCCATCCAGGCTCACAGTGCTTGTGTCCTCCTCCAACCTCAGTTTCCTCATCTGTCCCAGAGGACGACTATGGCAGGGCTGTTTTGATGATTAGGCCGGATAATCCTGGTAAGCATTTATTAGCTTGCCTGGTCTGAATATTAGTTTTTCTGAGTTTGTTAAGAAACTTTGCTGCTTGTATCTGAGTCACCACACGAAGAAATTAGAAAGAAAGAAAGAAAGAAAGAAATTTTGCTGCCCGTTATCTCCTCTTGGAAAGTGAGCTGGGGAGGCAGGAATTTAGGACTTTACCCTTGGCTTCAGAGTCCCTTCCAGGTGGCCCCTCTCCTTAGGCTCAATTAAAGCACAGAGCTTCCAGAAGTCCCCTACCCAAGACAGCTACAAAGTCCAGAACCAGAAGATCTTGTTTTCTGAACTAATGGTCTTATTGTGCCATAGCTGACCCAGAGGTAGAAACTAAGCAACACCATCTTAAACCCTGCATCCTGCAAGCACCAAGAAAAACGGTTTTTCCAAAAATAAGTTGTAACTGCTGCCCCATTTCCTTTGTGATAACTGCTTGCTGCCCCGTTTTCCTTGCAACTGTTATACCAGAGCGAGCATAGAAAGTAAGTCAACACCAAGACAAAAGTATACCAAATTGCAGGGTCTTTATTGCTGGCGGCCACGGAGGACTCTTGTCTCTCTAATCCATGGCCTGGAAAGGAGGCTGTTAAGACCTTTTATGCCAGTAAACCACCTCCTGAGCGGGGGTGAGGGTGAGGGACTTCAGACATTCCGATTGCTACTTAAGTGGTTCACAGAAGTCAAGATAAGCATTAGTTTACACATTGCCTGGGTAGAGTGGAAATTACAGACCTTAGTTACTTATTACAAGTCACAGGGGCCAAGATGGAGTGGGTTTGAACTGCTTGCCTTTCACATCAGGGTTACAGAGAGCATTTTCAACAGAAAGCCAGGTATGGTTGAGGTATGTAGTTTTATGGGGCTTTTACCATGTCACACAGTAACTGCTGACCTTGGCTTCTGTGAAAAGAGCTACCTTGCTCTGCATAACGCTGATTGCCAAAAAAAGAACCCTGTGCCCCACCAGGATGTGGGTTTTCTGCTTAAAACCCTTGCTTCCCCTGAGCTCGGGGCCACGTGTTGGAGAAACACTAGTCCTCCGTGGTCACGGGCGAAAAACGACCCTCTAAATTGGCTTACTTTGGTCTCAGTGGTGATTCGGTACTCGCTCGGTTACAACAAAAGGACGAGAAGCCAGGAAGGTTATAAAAACTACAATTTAAAAAATAATTTTTATTTTATTCTTTTAATGTGTGAGCAGCCATATAGTATATAATTTACAAATACACGCGACCTTATGAACAAGGCTAAAGGCAAACACTCTCTGGGGTGGGCCTGGCTCAGCTCAGGGAGGAAGTCCTGCCTGAAAAGGCTGCACCTTCAGCTGTCACTCTTTCTTCGGTCAGCCAGCATTTGGTCATGTCTTCTGTCACTCAGGTCTTAAACCTTATCCAATAAGCGACGCTGCCCTGAGAAGCGTCCAATCAGGCACGCAGTTGGGGCGGAAAGGGCGGCTTCTGCGATGTGGCGGCGGCTTTGTGTCTTTCTGCAGCTGGAGTTTTAGGTCTCGTCTTTGCAGTCCTGTGTCCTCTGCTGCTATAGGTCCAGCCTCTGTGGCCTTGTGATGTGCTAGTACTGGAGATCCACAGCTGAGATGCCAGGACCCCCTGGAAGCCTAGAAATGGTGTGAGTGCCGGGTCCGACCTCGGGGAAGGAGTTTGTTGGAACGGGTGGAAAATGGCCATGGCCTCCTTGCAGTCAGCTCCAAAATTTGTGCCCCAAGTTCGGCCTCAGTCCTCTTTATCAATAAAATGGCGGCTGAACCGTGACTGTACCTGGAGCCCTCTCTGGGCGGCTCTGCACCGGCAGCGCCCTGTCTCTTCCATATTTTCCCTCCAAGGGACCACAGGAGGGTCATCAAGGGAGAATCCTGACTCGGGGTGGGGGTCATAAATGAGAAGCCCTTTGGTTTGGTTTATGGGGTTCTCAAGTTTCTTTTCTCCTATTAAAAATTGATGGGAGTTATTGCAGAAATGTTTTTTACGACTGGATGATTTCAAGCAGAATTTCAAGGCTTCCTTTTTAAAATGCTACCAAGGAAACAATAGGGAAATCTCTCCTGCATTTTGGCTGTAGAAAATGAATACACTGCCGGCCAGGCACTGTAGCTCAAGCCAGTTGTTGTACGGGAGCGAGCACAGAAAGTTAACACCAAGACAAAAGTATGCCAAATTGCAGGGTCTTTATTGCCGGTGGGCCATGGAGGACTCACGTCTCTCCAACCCATGGCCTTGAACTCAGGGGGAGCAGGGTTTTTAAGCTGAAAAACCACATCTTGGTTTTAGGACAAAGAGAATGAGGGGATGCAGGGCAGGCAACTTTACGGAAGCTGTTTCTGGCAGTCTGTGATAAGCAAAGGCAAGCAGCTTTGTAGCAGGAGTGACCACGGGAAAACGTCTCTCAGACACCAAATACAGGAGGTAGAAATTCATTTCAGCTGGGAGCAAGGTGGCATAGGTGCCTAACAGCAAAGCCCGTCTAATAAAGGGAGGAGGTTCAGCCTTTATATAGGCTTATACTTTAGATGTTACACGTGGAAGAATCTTAGGTTCATAGTTTTAGGACTCACATGTGAAAAGGTCTGTTTACAGTTTCAGGAATCACATATGAAAGGGTTCCGGTTTACAGTTTTAGGACTCACATGTGAAAAGGTTTCTGGTTTGATCTTGTTTTAAGTAAAAATAGTGCCTTCTGGAGAAAGTTTCCCTAAGGCCTAGCCTGTTGTTTTCAGGAAGGAGATTCAGGAGGTACCAGCTGGCCTGCTCTCTTTTATTGATATGCACAGTGGATGACCAAGGGGGAGGGTCTCCCTCCTCAGCTTTACACAGTGGGCTTCCTGGAATTTGGGGAAATTCTAAGTAGTCCCTAGTGGAGAGCTGCAAGTCAAACATTTCAATAGAAATTTTTTTCTTCTCTTTTTAATCAGGATTTTTAGAGCAAGCTAGCTGTTTTCATTTACTGAAGCCAAGGTCAGCAGTTATCACAAGGAAAATGGGGCAGCAAGCAGTTATCACAAAGGAAATGGGGCAGCAGTTCCAACGTATTTTTTGGAAAAACCATTTTTCTTGGTGCTTGCAGGGAACAGGGTTTAAGATGGCATTGCTTAGGATCTAACTCTGGGTTAGCTATGGCACACAGTAATTTTAGCACTATGAGAGGCCAAGGCCAGTGGATCATCTGAGGCTGGGAGTTTGAGACCAGCCTGGCCAATGTGGTAAAATTCCATCTCTACTAAAAATGCAAAGTTTAACCAGATGTGGTTGTAGGAGTCTAGAATCCAACCCATTGGAAAGGCTGAGGCTTGAGAATTGCTTGAACCCAGGGGGCTGAGGTTGCATTGAGCCTGAGGTTTTGCGACTTCACTCCAGCTTGGATGAAAGCAAAACTCTCCAAAAAAAAGAAAAATAAAAAACGGTTTTACAAGAAAATGTGGTAGACAACTGGTGAATTTTGTTGAGTCATAAAAATATAACTTACTTCATTTGCAGTTAATTTGTGACAAGTAAATATCTCTGTTCTGTATCCTTTTATCTTGACTTCTGAGTTTCATGATAAGTTTTATGAGATAAAACTTGGTACCTCCTAGAAGTGTTTCCATACGACTAATTGTTTACCACATGATTTTTTAATGAAAAAATTTATAATAAGACAAATACTGTCTGAAAGGAATAGATACTTTTGTTTTTCTCATTGAGGTGTAAAATGTAAGCACCCTATAATTTTACCTTTTTAGATGAACATTTTGTTTGAGTAATGTTGCTGAATTTTTCACACAGGTAGTTTCAAAAACCAAGTTACATAACTGTGACATGGAAATCAAAGCTTGAGCCTAGTGTCTGCAAGCTAAGGCCAATATTGAACCTCCAAAAGAAGATTATTAACAGCCCAATTGTTTTCTGAAGAGCCTCCCTGGCATGTGTCCCACCCTACTCACCCCAGTCATGGAAGGCTCTTCTATAGTGAGAGAAGCTACAGAGCTCTGGAAAGCTGAGGACCCACAGGCTTATGCAGTTAAGATTAAGAAAAAAAAGAACTGGTAGGATTTTAGTGAAGATGAAGTTGTTATTGTTTTGAAGCAGTTTCTAGAGTGCTTAAAATAAAACAGCTAAATTTATGTAAAAAAATTAAATCCCAGATTGGGCACAGTGGCTCATGCCTATAATCTCAGCACTTAGGGAAGCAGTTGGTGAATTATAAGGTCAGAAGATCAAGACCATTCTGACCAACACTATAAAATCCCATCTCTAAATAAAAATTAATTAATTAAAAAATGTTTAAATTCCAGCTGGGAGGGGTGGCTCTCACTTGTCATCACAGTACTTTAGGAGACTGAGGCATGTGGATCACAAGGTCAGGAGTTCAAGGCTAGCCTGGCCAACATGGTGAAACTTCAGCTCAACTAAAAATAAAAAAATTAGCTGGGTGTGGTGGTAGAGGGGGTGTGTAGTCCCAGCTATTCAGGAGGCTGAGGAAGGAGAATTGCTTGGATCTTGAAGGCAGAGGTTGCAGTGAGCCAAGAACACTCCATTGCATTCTAACCTGGGTGATAGAGTAAGACTTCATTTAATATAAAAACAAATAAATTCCAAAGGAGTATTGCAACAGAAGAGAATACCTGATATAAGATCTGAAAACATTGTAAAGTTTGGGCAGACAAGGGCTTTTCTTTATCGGAGGGAACAAATACGATTACAAAGAAGGTAGAAGGTAAATAGCAAATGAGAGGTGAAAAGATCAGATTCTACATTAATGTTTTACCCTGAAGTCAGCATGTTTTTAGGAAGGACATAACGTGTTGTATTTTGACTCAAATGGAGTGTGGCTGAATGTTAAGGAGCCTGTGGGCTGGAAATCAATAAAACTGAAGTTTGATTAGAAAGTATTTTCTTTTGACCACTGAAGAAAAATTCAGCTGATTTTTTAAAATGAGAACCAAAGGAAAATGTGCACAGTCTGTGTCTGGCTATGTGATAGATAAGAAAAAGAGCACCAATTAAGTCATAGAGGAAAGCATGTTTCTTTCCACAAACTGTTTCTGGAGAACACAAAAGGATAGAGAATTTTATTTTATTTTTTTGCCAATCAGTTTGAGCTTATGAGGTTGCTCAGGTTAGCCTTGAACTGATGACCTCGCCTTCGCGAATGCCATGACCTCCGGCGGGAGCCACTTTGGACCCCCGAGAATTTTATTAATCACAGCTGTTTATCAGAATTATCTATGTGATTCCTCTTTCTCCATTTATTCTTAGTCCTATTTCTCTCCTCCTCTCCCCTCCTCTCCTCTCCTCTCCTCTCTCTCCTTTCCCCCTCCCCTTCTTTTCCCCTTCCCATCTCCTTCCCTTCCCCTTCCCCTCTTCTTTTCCTTGAGAAAGAGTTTCACTTTTGTTGCCCACGCTGGAGTCATGGCATGTTCTTGGCTCACCACAACCTCTGCCTCACAGATTCAAGTGAATCTTCTGCTTCAGCTTCCCGAGTAGCTGGGAATACAGGCATGCGCCACCACGCCTGGCTAATTTTTTGTATTTTTAGTAGAGACAGGGTTTCTTCATTTTGGTCAGGCTAGTCTCAAACTCCCGATCTCAGGTGATTCACCAACCTTTGCCACCTGAAGTGCTGGGATTACAGGCGTGAGGCTCCATACCTGGTCACGTTTTCTACGTTTGACTTCTTCTGAGTTGTATTTTTCATAATAAGCTGGTAAATGTAGGTACAGTGTTTTGCTGAGTTGTGTGAGTAGCTCTATCAAATTATGAAACTTGAGAGAGAGTACGGGAGTCCACAATTTTTAAACAGTAGCTCAGAAGCATGGATATGCCTATGGGGTTTGTTACTGGGATCTGCCATTAGGACAATGTTGTGAGAATGAGCCCTGAATCAGAGTCTGTGCTGACTCTGGATGGCATCAGAATCCAAATTCAAATTTTAGTCAGTGAGTTGGTGTTGCAGAATGGCTTGGTGTTCAGCAAACTACAGATTTGGTACAAGAAAAAAGGTATCCCAGAAACCTGGCCTGGAATCAAACTCTGGTTGTCTGGGAATGCAAGGCTCTTCTCTCCTGTACACAGGCTGTCACACTGCCCATTGTACTGTGATTCCAGGTCTCCTCCCAGGGTGAGAGGATAAAAACTTAGAGAAGAGGAACTCTGATAGCAGACCCTCTTTTCCCACAGCTGTCACCACAGCATTCCCACTCACTCACAGGCTTACCCACTAAATAGGAGCACGGCCATGCCTCTTCCAGGACTAAACACCACCCAGAGAAATTTCACAACAGCATTTTGATTCTAGTGTTTATTGGCAAAAACCTACAAAAGTGTCTACAAGTCTCCGGGCACATCCCCACCCCCAGACACTGAATCTGCAACAACAGACTGTTTTCTTCACCAACTCAGGGTTCTGGACCACATCTTCCTGATCTCATCTGCCTGCATAAACACAAAGATACATCAGAGGACACCTCCCCTTCAGCCGCTATCTGTAGCACAAACCAGATCTTTCACCTACATTGCACTGTTTCCCACTCACAGATTTTTTTTTCTTTACCTTGTATTTTTGGCTCAGGGGCACAAAGGTAGGTTTTCTATGCAGCTAAAATTGTGTCACGTGGTTTGGTGTTTGGATTAT